TATAACGAATACTAAACAAAGACTTCTAAAGATTCAATATATATCAACAAGGAATCTTACCTTGTTTCGGCTTCTTATTCTGCCTTCACCTAGTATTCTCTTCCAAAGGTCTTGGGCTGTAGATAACTAATTACACTTAGGCTGAAAAATACTTCGCACAAAACGTTTAAGAATTAAATTTAATAGTTAAGCATGATAAAAAAGGGAAAGCTATATACAGATGAAAAGAGTTGTACGTTGCATGACAAATTCTAAGCTATACCACGCTCGTGGAGAAAAAGTTCGTAATTGAATGTTTCTGTATTTGTCCGCTAGGGGGGGATCGCGGCATTCTCAACACTTTAATTGATTTAATGTAATATATGCATATGGAAATAAAAGAAATAAGCTATGTACTAGAAATCATAAGTAATGGAGTAAAGATATTTATTTGTCTATAAGAAACGCAATAAATCGTCTTGGTATCATTGTTCTAAATTGTATATTGTATCTTATGTACTAAAAAGAAAAAAAATAATGGAGAAAAGATTCTTATTCATTTTGGGGAGTTATTTTATTATTCGCACTAATGCTTTAACAAAATTGATAATGTGAAATAATTTTATTTCATAACCGTCGTTGAACAGCCTACCCAATTTTTGGTTTACGGCCATTAATGTTCAACTGCTTAAGCCTTGTAATTCTGAATTCGATCTAGAAGACAAAGGAACTCTAGGATCAAGTATTGGGAGAAATTTGCATCCGTGGAGGACTTTTCGAGGGAGCTTATACCCGCATTTGGGGTACATGGAGAGGAAAACTACGAAAGCCCCTCACGGTTAGCCTAACGGCAAGGGGACTCCAGCTCATGATCAGCCTACCACTGAGGATATTTTACGCCAGCACTGTGGTTGGTACAAGCCGGATTCGGAATTATTATCGACCAGCCATCGCTGGGATTCGAAATTGGTTCACCTTAGTGGAATGCGAACGCTCTATCCCATGAGTCACCATGGCCTGTTAACAACAATTATTAGCTGAATAAAAATGTATTTTACCTTACTGTATGTAATTTAATGATGAATGGTGCATAGGTGCCCAGTTTATTTAAATGGCTATGCTAATGATGTGAAAACACTGGAGGCAAGACGTAGCTTAAATTGCTATTATGAATATATTGTTTAGTGCTTCGAATCAATATCAATTTAATACCAATGCAATAAAAAGCAAAATAATACATGTTATGAAAGCCTAACATATTTTATTGTTTATTTAGTATTTATGAAATAAAATAAATTTATTTTCGTTGTATGTCGGATGCGTCATATATTATATGCACAAACTATTAAATAACTAACTGCAAACCTCCATAAAATGTGTCAGATGTAGTTTCATGTTTATTTAAATAATATTTTACAATTTTTACTACCTATTACTACAAATATTATTTTAAAGTAAAATTACAATTTCAAAATAAGAAATCATTAAAGGAAGTTTGTATTAACTTTTTGTACCACGACGTCGCCTCAGAGGCACCATCTACAGTCATCACATTAAAATAAAATATGTTAATAGCTTAATAATTAGCAAAAACATTATTTTAAGAATTCCAAAAATTATATGAAAAATACGGTAATAAGTATATAAATGATTTAGTACTTTTATAAGTTCAAAGAGCATTTTTAATTACTCAGAGTGCAAAGGGTTAAGTTATCAAAATTTGAGTCCGTTATTTTTTTTTCTGAACTCAAACTCAATTTTCTTGATAGAAACTATATAGTTTAGTACCTAGTTCTGAAATTGAAATCTTAACAAGATAGTTGTTTTTCATAGACGTTAGTGATCAGGGATAATCAAGATTGAGATTCAAGAACTAAAATACAGTTCCGAATAAAAGAAAAGACTGGGAAAAAATGCTTCCCAAGGCTTGCTATAATCTGGGGAGATGAATTATATTATTTTAAAGACCATAAACGTAATCGGTAAATTGGTAAATCGTGTAGTTGTTTCTTTTGACACTTAAGAAAGCCAATCTGGTCAGATATTGCTCTTTTGTGAATTAAGTCAGGAAGGTGAGCCTATCGTTTGACAAGCGAGCATCGCAAGGGTGAAAGTACGTCTAGGTTCAGAACCTTACGGATGGATGGTAGCACTACTCATTCGAGAAGCTATATTCTCAGTCTAAACATATATCTGAAGAGAAGGAAATTTTTTCCCCTGAACTCTGTATCCATGGTACAGCTTAGCGACCTCCCACAGTACTTTCGATTACACAGATTTTACGAGTAGGTATATCTATGTACTGGATGGGTCTTAGCGGAGTCGAGGATCGAACTTCAGCCCTTCCTGACCGGAGTTCGCTTCTCTAACCGCTGGGCTAGAATGGTCTAGGAAAATCCTTCTTCCCTAAAGTTATGTAGAAAGGTGAAATTCAAGTATTCCTTCCAACATTTGAGGTTTTTAAAAAATGTTTTTTTTTCAGTAATATTGATAGTGAGCTAAAAGTGGAATTATTTAAAGGAAATAGAATTTTAAATCTGTTATCAAAATTAAGAACAAGTTACTTGACAGACATTTTAAGAATATACATCAAATGTCACCAAAGTTGAAAGTTTAAACATTTCATGTCTTAATATTTCGTTACCACATTATGCCATGATTATAAGTTAATTTTTTAAAATTGCCTCATACGTGATTGCGAATTTTCTACCCTTTGAGAAAAATTTTTTTCTTATTATTTATGTTTAATGCGTGATATTTTGATTAGTAAATTTGATTTCAATTTTTTTTTCACACCACTACAAGCGAATGATTCCAAATTTCGTATCAAGAACTACTTTTTCAATTTCTTCGTTGTGTGAATTTTAAATTAATGGTAAAATTAACTAAAATTTTGAAAGCTTTAGTAAGTAAATGTCTACCATTCTATAAAACCTTTTGACAAAAAGCGTACTTGTTTGTAACTCTTCCCTACATCATATGTTTTGAATAAACTAGTGCTTACAGTTACGTAAATAGTATTTTAATGTACTTAGTGCAAAAGCTTAAAGTTGTTTTTCGAAGGCTTCGTCGTAATATGAAATGATGCTTTCTTGCTAATAACATGCTATTTTCATAACTGCTGTGAGTTTACAACAGTTACTCATGACTATCGGACAAGTTTAGCCAATCAAAAGCTGGCGCAGTCTATGATTATTCTGAAAATAGCGCAAAACGTCAATATGAAGAAAAGTAACAGTTTAGTGAAAATGAAAAGCGTTTGTGGTCTAATTGTTTCAATATCTAAAAACTTACTTTCATGCTACAATGTCTGCTACAATATCTCTTAAAAATTAGCAAAAACTGAGAATCACATAATTTTCGTCTAGGTGAGAAAAAGCCTCTAAATTGGAGATTTTTTAAAAAAAGTTTAATAACTTTTGAAATAATTAATTTGTTCGCCCGTTCTAAAGAACAGATAATTTTTCACAGCAAGATGATATACACAGCTTAAAATCATAGTTTTGCTCTTCAAGCGCAAGGCACTTAAACTCCTATATATATATATATTATTTTTCAGTTCAATT